TAAGTATGATGTTTTCTTTAGTTTTTTGGTAGATACACTTGATCACATTTTAAAAAGTTCTCTTCTAGTCCTAGTTTTTTGACTTACAAAAAGTCATGAATAGATTAAATTTTATCAAACGCTTTATTATTTTTTTCTTTTTACTTTTATGTGGTATACTGTATTGATTGATTTTCAAATGTTAAAACCTCCTTCGTTCCTGGAACAAACCCCATTTGGTTGCCCTTTTTGTATATCCACAAATTTGATTTACTAGTATTTTGTTCATGAGAAAGACTGGTCTATAATTTCCTTTCTTGTAATATCCTGTCAGGCTTTGAAATCAAAATTATGCTGGCCTCATTATATGAGTTGATAAGCATTTTCCTCTGCTTCTATTTTCTGGAAGAGTCATATAAGAGTGGTATTTTTTTCCTTAAATGTTTGGACGAATTCACTGAAGTTACCTGGCTTGCAATTTCTTTGTGGGAATGCTTTAATAACATATTCAATTTCTTACTGGATATGTAATTATTCATATTTTCTATTTCTTATGTCAGTTTAAAAAATTATTGTTCAATTTTATTCACATAACATACAATTAACCATCTTAAAGTGTACACGTCAGTGGTAAGTAGTCTAGTCACAATATTGTCCTAATGCCAGCTGTCTCTACTTTCAAAACTTTTTTATCACCCCCACCAAAATACATGGTACCCATTAAGTGATCACTCCCCATTCCCCAGCAATCTCTAATTTGCTTTTTGTCTCTACAGATTTGCCTATTATGGCTATATGATATAAAAGGAATCATATGATATATGACCTTTTGGGTCTGGCTTTTCACTTAACATATTTTCCAGGCTCATTCTGGTTGTAGTATGTATCAGTACTTCACTCCTTTTTATGGCTGAACAATAATAATATACATTGTAGGTATATACCACAATTATCCATACATCTGTTGATGGACATTTGGGTTGTTTATACCTTTTGGCTATTATAAATAATGCTGCTATATACCATCACATAGAGGATGAGGGTTTAAAAAAAAGCTGCTACAAACATTTCTGTACAAGTTTTTATGTGGACATATCTTTTCATTTGTCTTGGCTATATATGTAGGAATG